TTCACAGTAAATATGATATGTATGTTTTTTACACAGAAAAAAGCAAATTCTTACAGATTTAGAAGAACGGAAGACTTTTTTGTTGCCATGGCAACAAGAGTCTAGTTATTATTATTATTCTTTTTTTCTACTTTCTTCTCCGGTACTTTTTTGTCCGGGAGTGTTCTCATAGAACCACTCATCCGATTGACATGAAACCTTTTTAGGGTTAATAGGCATGTTGTGTAGGTGTGTGGAACGAAGGTCATTTTGCGCGCACATGCATGCACGTGCGCGCGCGTGCAATGAGTGAAATGACTGATATACTTGATGAAGCCGTAACTTTTATATTTCTTGATCAATTGCTTTGAAACTCAAAATATAAAGATATATTAGTAGTCTAGACAAGACAACATGGTCAAATTAGCGTGAACTCACGCGCATGCATGTGCGCTCTTCTCTGATTGGCTGATACAAAAATCTCAATAATTTCCTTGTTTTTTGACAAAATACTTTGAAATTTAGAATATAAGTATATATTATAAGGTGCTACAACATGTTATATAGGAAATTTCTTGAAAACACGCGCATGCAGGTGTGCTGCAAACTGATTGGTTGAAACTTTAAATGTCTTTAACTCCCTTGGTTTTTAACAAAACAGGATGAAATTTAAGACATGGATAGGCACATAGAGCTCCTACATTATGATACTATCAAAATTGAATGCAAGGCCATGCATGCGCGTATGCTGAATTTTGATTGGCTAATACTTAAAGGGTTACATCTCTCTTATTTTTCAATGAAATTCTTTAATATTTAAAACAAATGTATGTATTGTGAGACACTATAAGATAATTAATGTAAAAAATGTAGCTATTAGATTGGCTCATACCCATATGGCTATATCGGAGTAGTTTTCCAATGAAATACCCTTAAAAATAAAGTGTCCATCTATATTACAAAAGTATTGTCTAATTTATTGAAGCTTGTAGGGAATGGGGCATCACAAGGGATTGGGGAGCCGTTTGGGGAACATCTGTAACGGTTCCCGTTACAATTAGCACTAGTTATATTGTGCATTTAATATCTATCTTTTCGTCTTTTTCTTGAGGTAAAAACAAGTCAACAATCTTATCTGTAATCTCTGAAAAAATAAAGAAAGATGGAAAGTTAAATAGTTTATTCAACTGACCATGATTCAGGTCACAACATACACATATACCTTCGATTATAAGAAATATGCTTGAAGTGCATATATCTCAATTTATTTTTTATGTCTCCTTTTTCATTAAATTCATAGCAGCACTAATTGGTACCAAAATTGATCAATTACTAGTACTTTGAAAAGTAATTTACGAAATTTCATTTACTTTGGGATCTCATAAAAACAATTCTAAACTCGTCTTTTTTTAATCATATTGATTAAATTATTTTTTCTGATTTCTTAGTAAACATGATTATATTTGATTACTTTATCAGGAAGAATGTCACTGTTTATTTGAACATTATTTTATCTATATTTTTGTGCTGTTTTAAATGGACCTGGGCGAAGGTTCTAAATGCTAAGTAAGCCTTTCCCTCATATAACATTAAGTAAACGATTTGATATTCATGGGGGTATTGATTAAAAAGAAATAATACTGAGGGTTACTATAATCAGTGAATAAATTATTTCTATGAGTGACATACATGTATATGTATAATCCATAAATATAGTAAGAACATGCACATTACATGTATTAAAAAAATAATAAAATAATACAGTTGACATGCATCATTACATCACAATTTAGTGAACTGCTTTATGTTTTCAGTAAGTAAGATGATGTAAAGATATTTGTATTTTTCTGAAAGATATTGAATTGCATAATTTGATTTACAACCATTTATAACCATGAAAATATATACAAACACAATAAACACTCAAAGTTAAAAAAATACACGAGTTTATAAAGAAAATGAGAAAAGAAAAGAGTAAATTCAGTTATAGAGAATTTAGGAAGGATAGACAGTTTCGAATTTTTTTTTAAGTTATAAATTAAAGTTGACAACATTTTTACATTGAAACCTGATCAAATATAGATAAAACTGTTCATTACTTGAATTGTGATTCAAACAAACATTGCACACTTTAAAGGACTAGTGTAATTATATCAATGTCATCTCATCAAATGTTTTGATATCCCTACTAGAATTGAAGAGTCGGTGAAAGCAAAAATCAAAATATACAACTCAATAACTTTCAGAAGAATACAAATAAATTTACATCATCTTATTTCAAAACACATAAAGCAGTTCAGTAAATTGGGATGTAATGATGCATGTCAAATGTATTATTTTTAAATACGTGAAATATGGTGATTACGAACAGTATTCAAGCTCATAAGTCCATTCAAACTATACAAATTAGGAGCAGAACATACATGGACCTCCAAAAACATCAGAGGTGGGATCAGATGTCATGGAGGAGTAAGCATCCCGCCATGTGTTCCTTGTCATGATCGGGTAAACGGAAAATTCGTAGATATATCAGTGTGTAAATAATAACTTAACAATAAGAATGAAAAACGTCAGTCAGCATTTGACCTAATGATAGATTGTATTTGCTGATAAGGCCATTGTATCGACCATAGAACTTGAGAAATGATAACTTCAAACGAGACTGTTGAAATCCTTGTTTCATCAACTTTTTGGTTAATAGTCTGCCTCCTTTTAAAAATCCATCGTACGTAGAGCATGCTCCTGCGCATCGAATCAACTGGGAGACATAAACCCCATATGCAGGTGATAAGGGTATACTGCTACATATATTAGGGAAGTAATCTATAACTATATTTATGCATTATACGTGTATGTCACTCATAGAAATATTTTATTCACTAACTATAGTAACCCTCAGTATTATTTCGTTTTAATCAATACCCCCATGAATATTAAATCGCTTGCTTTATGTTACATGAGGGGAAAGGCGTACTTTGCATTTAGAACCTTTACCCAGGTCCATTTAAAAAAAATATCGATAGAAATGTTCAAATCAATCTATTTTCATAAATAGATCAAAAATCCATTCAAGAGGCCCGTTTTACAAAAGAACTTACAACTAAGACCAAAAATTAATTCTGCTTATAACTTTCTAATTTACATTAGGGTTTTAATCTTTTAAAAAGGAATGTAGAAAGATAATTTCATGACAGCAATTTTAAACAGAATCATTAATTTTGCAAAATTTTACGTTTTAGTCGTAAGTTCTTTTGTAAAACGGGCCCCAAGAGCAGAGCAAACATCGTAGGTGGGATCAGTCATGAAGGAGTAAGCAACCCCTGTCAATCGGTCACACCGCTGCTGTGTGCTCACTGACTATAGTAACCCTCAGTATTATTTAGTTTTAATCAATACCCCATGAGTGTCAAATCATATGGGGGGAAAAGCGTACTAAGCATTGCGATTCTTTGCCCAGGTTCTTTTTTTTTTTTTTTTAGAAAAAATGTAGATAAAAAAAATGTTCAAACTATATTTTTTCTCACATACTTCCTGATAAAGTAATTAAATGTAATCATGATTACTAAGAAAACAGAAAAAAATGATTTAATTAATAAGATTCAAAGAAGACGTATTTGAATTTGTATTCATGAGACACCAAAGTAAATAAAATTGAGTAAATTACTTTTCAAAGTACTAGTAACTAACCAATTTTGGTACCAAGATTCAATAAAAGACATTTAGAAATAAACAACGTTATTCAGTGAACACATGGCATTATGAATAGTAATTGCTGTGCTGGCATATTCCACGGTGTGCGCTAGTGCATCATGGAAATTATGCCAGTAGAGCAATTTCTGTTTATAAAGCCATGTTCACTGAATAATCGTTGTTTATAACTTACATGCGCATTTTGTGATGTTGTCAACAATATGAGAGGAAATCCTGGCCTGCATAAGAGCACAGCTGTTGTCTCCAGTGAAGAAAAACATGACAAAATCAGTAGACCTGATTAATCAAATTATCTCCAAATCATCATGTATAATATATATGGTGTTTGCGTCTTTACCACAAGATACAAACGTCTTCAAATTCATGTAAATTTTTGTTTTGATGCAGTTGTGACGTAATAGTTCAAGTATTGAAAGTCCCTGAGAAAAATTATTAATAAAACTATTATGAAAAAATAAAATGCTTTTATATTGATTTTAAATTAAGAATGTTTTTCTTATGTTTCTTAAATTCTTAAAATTCATTTTAAGAGTTGAAATCGTTCTTGAAATAGATACACTATTATAGAAATTTCGCTTTGTCTGAACGTTAAACACCCTAGCGTGAAGAATTATCATTCTTTTTAATTATGTGTGTAAAAATGAACAGATAAATTCAAGATATAGCAGCTCTGTTTAACTTGCTCGCTCCTCCATGGGACCTGATCCCACCTCTAAATTTTGAGGTCCGTGTTTGCTCTGCTCCAAATTTGTATAGTTTCATTGGACTTTAAATGTATGTCAATGAACAATATAATTATTGTCAAGAATGTTCAACTAATTTCATATTTAGTCATTATATATGACCTATGAACACTGTGTTACTTAAGCAGAGTATAAGATAGGTATATTTCAACTAAAGTGGGAATACTTATAGAGCAGGAAATCAATGTACATACTTCAATACTTTTCATTCACTCCAAGGCTTTTCTTTTGATACAATCACTACCAGCTCTCTTCACGAGTGAAAATAGTAGTTTATTCTTATTAGTTGTTTTACAATATAGTACATGGGCAATTGTATACATTAGTGGCGAGCATTACCATGGAATGATATTAAATATACCTAAAGAGGCATTTATTTAGATGTATTAATACTAGTGCATCTGGGTCTACTGAATTCCAAAAGAGCAATTAAATTTAAGTAACGAGTAAAAAAAGAGAAAATAATCTGGGAACATTAAAATATATTGTTTTAAATTGTGCACAGTTAGTTGTAAAAAAAAAAAAAGCAGTCAGACAAAAGGAAGATAGTATGTATATTCAAATATTTTTATTCTACTGATACATTAGTTAGCTGTATTGTTCTATATTTTCGTTTTACAGTCTTCCCCGCCGTACCCTGCCTCACATTTACACTGTCTTCCGGTCTGGTGTTCCTTGCACTGGCATGCGCAGTTGGACTGATCAACCGTTGCACCATTGAAGCAGTATGTGTTACAGCGACTGGTGCAGTCATTTCCTATTGAAGAAATCAGCTGTGATAATTAGCAGAATTCAAAATGGATCTTTTCAATATTATTTTATCATTTTTCCTTATGTTTCATGTCCGGTATATTCATTCTCTGTAGCAGTAGATGCATATTTGATATACGTAACTTTTCCCTAGAAACTTAAAACAATTCATATTAATGAGTCTCCAAAAGCCTCTCTGGCCAAAATGTTTGCTAAAAAAATTCGCAGAGACAATATCCGTATTTTCTGTGTTATAAATTGGCACTACAAGTACTAGAAATGAATTTTCTTTAGCCATGGAATTTTGTCGAAAATAATGCTGAATATTTCACCATATAAATCAAGAAAACATTGCTATAACCGTATGGGCTCACCATAAAATCCACTGGGACAGTCACAGGAGCATATCTTAGTGTTAAATGTTCCACCATTAGCGCACTGTCCTTGACAGGTCTTAGCTTCAAAGGAAAAACATAAAACATACATAGCAATAACCGACCTTTATCATAATATACCTTCATTTAAAGCATTGTAGGATATTTTTCGATTGGTCAACTTGATTTTACAAATGTAATCATATCGACCTACATTGAGATAAAATTTGTGTTTTATATAAAAAAATATATGCCATGTCTGCTTTGCACAGTAGAATTGTTTATTCTACTGTTTTTTAAAAGGATATATGTTTCTACTTACCAGATTTGGGTACAGAGTAAGTATAGTTAATGCCAGTATTTTTCTTCTCACCATATCTGTAGTGCTGAAAATATGATTAAATGTCGTATTTTTGTAATGTGTACTGTAAACCACCGTTAAATTGTGTGCGAGAAATATCTGCGAGTATATTTTTTACCACAAACAAATTTTATAAAGAATATTTCCATAGTCATAAATATTATAGTTGTGTATGGATTTCACAATGAATGTATTGTAAATAATGTCTGGTTTACTTTATGTACATCCCCTTTGCACTGATGAAAACTATTGAGGTTTTACCTTAATGATTACAGGTTCGGTGATGGGTCCTTTGGCATACAACTCTTGACGCCAGAAAACATAATTCCAATATGTACCGGCGAAATTTGTTGGGTTCTTTGTCGTATCCCATATCCATTGTATAAAGCTGGACAGAATTACAAGTCCATCTTTGTTGTAGATTTCTGAGATAAAAGCAGATGAATTCATTTTATGCAATCATGATAATTGTTTTGCAAGATAAGTAACAAATTGCTTGACAATACATGCCCTCAGATGAAGATTCTGAGAATACAGTGCAATAAGTGTCTGTTGGAAACAAATGATTACTAATTGCGTATCTTGTAACTTGACTTATAGGTTAGATCTAAATTCACCTTCATTAAAAAACATCCCTAGAACTATGTGAGTAAAACGAAATAAAAAACTTTAGCATAAACTAAGATGACTAAGTCAAATGTGAATTAATACCAAGAGAGTCTGTAAAAAGTGTTCTGTGGATGTTCTGGTGTATTTTGGAGATTCTGTCTCTATTTATTTAATTATATCAGTTTGCCATGTTACGAAGAATGTAAATACTTGCCTACATAGTTTTCTCTCATTACTGTTTGCCAATCAAACCAGAATCGTATGTTAGTCGCTCCAACGGGTATCTCCGTAATTATCTTCCTTGTACCTGAAAACAATAAGATGATTAATTTACGCAGTAAAGAAGATCACTTTCATTCAAACTGAATGTGAAGAAGTAAAGAGAAGACCACATGTAAAGTCAGTATTTCGTAAATTGTATGGTCGTGATAATGACCTTGTTAGCAAATATAACTGATCACTGGATCGTATTTTTGGCTGACTTGTTCCATACCAAATATTAGGCCTTTATTTTTGTACTATATTTGACTACAAAATGTTTCGACTACTTGATCAATACATAGGGCTTACGGCGGGTGTGACCAGTCAACAGGGAATGATTGCGCCTCCTAGGCACCTGATCCAACCTCTTGAGTTACTAGGATTCTGGGTTTATGCCCTATTCACAGATTTGTATTTTTGTGGTTTTTATGAGATCTATCACTGTTATATCTTCACCCTTTTTCATTCCAACCTGTTAAATTCTTTTTATTCCTTTATTCTTCTTTAAGCTCGCCTCTGTTATGTAGGACTATAATAACAGGGACAAAACAAATAATCATGTTTTAATTATTTTAGTCTATCAGTTATCGTACGTGCCTTGTGCTGTTGTCTCCGTATACACTCCTTTCACTACGTCACAAGTAGAACCATCTCCCTCACAAACACCACAGACGTCATATTTAGCGTTGAGCTCTCCGTTACAACCGAAAAACTAAGACAAAGTACTGTTTATATATAATACCCTTAACACGTGATCAATTTAACATAAGAATGTGAAATTTCGATATAAGCAAGATTATGCTTTATTACTGTTCGGTATAATCGTATATCACTGTATACCCTGCAATAGCCGTCAAGACATCTGTAGCTGTAATCTGACCACTTTTGGTCCGATTCTTCAGTGGGTCCTTCACACGGAGTACCCTGGGGGATTAAGCCAAACCTTGTATAAGCAGGCGTCTTGTACTCCTGCACCGCATCACATGATACCTCACATTTCAAATGTCCTAAAGTGGTGAGATTTTTTGTTAAGAATCGTTAACATGTCAGTAATTTTTTTTCGTGAATTCCTGGATTTAATTCAGTAAAGACGGAAAAAAATATTTACAGGGTACAGCTATAAGGCTGCAGTTTTTCGATCGTTTTATACGTTTGAACAAAGAAAAATTAAAAACGCCCTCACTTTCTCTCTCTTACCATGCCAGTCTAATTTCCTTCCAAACGACGTGTATTCTGTAGAGTCTAATACTTTATTCTTCAATAACCTACTGCAAGTTTCAGACGCCCGCTGATTAATAAGAGTTGCCATGTCTGAACTGTCGTTGGGGCAGGGCTGCATTTAATATATACATCTTGTAAAAGCTACTTCTATTTTATTTTATTAATTCAAGTACAATATTAGCACGTTCTTTACTTTAATTATTAGATCCAATGAAGAGAACACTAAAATTTATCAGTGACTGTAAGCGTGTTCTATTTGGTTTACCTACCTCGGGATTACAAGTCCTGGCTTCATAACCATTGTCATCTCCGCCATCACAACCTGGGTGGTTCAAAGGGCTTTATCGATGTAAAAAAAAGGTGTTGAAAATTATATAATATACATGATTAAAAACAACATTGCATCATGCTTTCAGGAATATTCTCAGTTATAATTATCCACTAGCGTAATTAAAGCTGTTTACATTATCTTAAAATTTCAATATCTTTATTTTTCAGGCTGCAAATATATACATTTTGGTTGCCAAAAAGTTTATTAAACAAATAACCCATAAAGTTGATATATTTCTTTGAACGTAATTATTTTTGACACATTAAATGTATATCTTTCCCAGACAAGAATCTTGCTATGGAGTGAAATGACAGTTGTTTTGAGAAAAATAAGACGGACAAATATCAGTAGCTTAAGTTACTTATATCTTATCAACTTTGAGACTAGACCTTGAATAAAAGTTACTTTACATTAATTACCCTGCACAGGAAAAGAATGTTTCAAATGGAATAGTCATTTCTAAATTGAAAATCAGAGACTCTCAGTACATAATGTAGCTAGGGAAATACTATATCCATATACAGGTGATAATGGTATACTTCTACATAAATAAGGGAAGTTGGCGATAGAAAAGTTACAGTCATCACGTTTATCATAAAGATTAGTTAAGTTGCTATCAATGTCTTTTCTAGAAAAACATCCAAATATGAAACAAATGTGTCTGACTCTTTAGTGTCTTTTATTTCCAGTTCAGGCAGATGTATCGAATTAACAATTATCAATTTATCCATAAAAACCAATATTTTGTCCTTAATCTACGAAAATTTGACCCCACGAAAATATCTGATTTTATAGTTACTGTAATTAGAAAACTAGATATTTAAGCTCAATATTTAAAACCTTGGATTGTTGCAGAATCTCCTCCTGTAGGTTAGTCCTGTGCCACAGGTCCTGGAGCAAGGCTGCCAATCTGCCCACGGTCCCCATCCCCCGGGCCTGACCACGCCTGGTTTCATATTGACCTCTTCAAATGTCTGACATTTTCGATTCATGCAAATCTGGAAAAAATCGATAAGGTATATGGACTTTCAGTGAGTATAAAGAATTTTATAAAAGCATTATTTCTGGGAAGTCCTATAGGACTTACCTTTCCTTCACCGCAATAAATCCCAGGAGGAGCGCTCAGGTATTGGGTAAACATTTGTCCAAAGAAATCGCCTTCGTTATAGTTTACACAGCTGTATATAATCTCGCATGGCTACCAACAATTAAGACATACATATTACAATTTATTATAATTTCATTATTCTATATTCCATAAAAACGTGTTCTTACCGGGAGATATGAGAAATTTCGGAAGTGAAAGTTAGGACCAAAATGAAGCTCGCATATTTCGTCTACACTGTACTTCTGACCTATATTTACCAAAAACAAGCTCACATTAATTGTCAGTGTATCAAATTATATCAGTATTAATGTTTAAGATACAAATCTTTTACAAGTATCTGTACATATGAATATTTTCATCATTGTGCACAAGCAAAAAATTATTGTAAAACTCGAAAAAAAAAATATCTCTTTTTAAGAGAGTATGACTATAAATTACTTTGTAGTTATTATTTTGTAGTTCCCATTCTCTCTGCCCGCCACCAATTCGATTTATCACAATTACTTATTAATAAACAGACATATTAGTAACAAAGCAACAGATAAAGTCATATGTTATTTGTTTTCCTTCCAAGTCGGCCCCATAAACCAAGGTTCAGTGTCGCAATAGGTGCTGGCACGAAAAATATCCCTCACTGTCAATGGTCCTGAGTGCCGAGTATAGATCTAAATTTGCAGACCCCACCGACAAGTGGAGGCGTCTACATATGAGTGGAAAAAAATCACAAGCGTCCCGCTTGTTAAACAACAAACTTCCCAATGGAAGAACATTATTTCTATGACGAGCCAAAGTAGCCAATAACAAATAGAAAATAAAGTTTGAAGTAACATGCTTTGTGTGATTTACATATGTATATAAAGCTTAGTGTGATTTACCTATGAGAACTGGCTCAGCTGGACCGTAGCTGGTGCTACTTGAAACATCTTCTCGAAACAGACACTGCGCATACTTACTCCTGAAATTAGCATATAAATATAGATATATTGTCTAACGTTACTATAATTTCAGACTTGTCTGTAGAACTTTATTTAAACGGAAAGAAAATACTTCAGAACCAAATATTACATATGTGGAAAAAAAAATGCGACCCATTTCCCAAAGTAAAAAGGTTTGACAGTAAATTCAGTTGAAGTAATTTCTGGTTGTATTAAGGTCATTATAACTATGGTTATAATACAGTTAGGATTATATCTAGAAGAAAATCATTATGACCAAGCAAGAATATCGAACCATAGAAGAGCATTTTGTTTATTGTTGAAAGAAGATGGGGAAGAAATGCCCATTGTCTGACAAATAAAAAGTGAAAAATTTCATCTCAATAAAAGCAAAATTTTCTTTTGATATTTCATTTAACACTGACATGAACATAAACTATATGTAAAATCTTCACATAACGAAACAATCTCACGAAGATTGAATTAGATATTCGTCTATGATGTAGCATACATATACCAAAGAGGGCAAAAATGAGTATGCTCTTGTGTATTGAATCAACTGGGAGGCATAAACTCCATGTGCAGGTGATAATGATATATTATTACTAAAATAAAGGAAGTTGACGGTAGAAAACCACTAGGTTACCATTAACGTCTATAGACGTTTTTGCTAGAAGAATTTTCCACAGAAAAGTTTTGTTTGTCATAATTTCACACCTTTCAATGATGAGAACTTTACTGTGAAAAACCAAACTCAAATAATTTTATTCTCATTTTAAAGACGTACTGTAGAAATTTATCAAAATCTCTGATACTGCAAGAACTAAAGCCTGTTCCTTGTCCTCCCATCACGCCTCTGTCACTTCCGGTACAACCCACTTCTTCGTCGTGCCACATTCCTAAACTAAAACAAAATCAAGAAAAGATTTTATTAACGACAATAGGTAATCATCAGATACGGGTGCTCATGTAATTAAAAAAAAAAGAAATTTTCTATTGGATAAGGTCGATCCAAAAACCGGTTAGAGACCACTCTTTTTGTTTGCTTCTCGTTTTAAAAAGATGGTATTTGTCACTTTATGATTATCTTTTTAATATTGTATTGTATTGGATGTATGGATAACTGGTAAAGTAAAAATTAAAGAAACCTACATGGATATTAAAAGATGATATATAATTAATCATCACTATACATAGTAAATTATACATTTAGTAACTGTTTACACTAATTTTAAATTGAAATAATAAATATGAAACTTCGTTGAATTTTGAAAGTCTGGTAATGGACATTTGCTTTGTATGTAACAATTTCGATTTTGTGAAAGAAAACCATAATTGTAAATAATTATGAATTTCAAATATGTGTTTTTAAAACTAAAACTTTATCTGAATTATGTACATGAATGCTCTGAACGTAGAATACAAAATGTATAATAGCCATAATTTATTTGTTACATAATGTATGGTTGTGTATTTATTCGTTAGAATACATTTTCTCAGTGCACCATATAAATACACGTACATTTAATTAATTGTATCAAAAACATTGAAGATTCTGCAGAAGTTGAAATTAATTCCGATATATCAAATGTTAAAATAATAGTTGAAAGTGTCAATAACACATACACAATTAATCCCTCACAAAAATTTACTCTCTCTCTCTCTCGCCAGATGTGAAATTTACTAACCAGGTATCATCCTGACCCTGTCACCACAAAACTACGTAACTAATAATATTTATATATATGAAAATTGTCCAAACTTAAAAATCCTATTTGGGGGTAGAACTTTTGTTTACAACCAAATTTCTCTTTAATACTTTATCCAATAACCATGATTTAACGATGCTACACAAAAAGTGCAAAACGTGGGGGAGGGGGACAACGAGCCTTCCACTGTACATTTTCAATAGTAAAAAAGTTATGTTTGAAAAAAGTGAGGGACAAAGCCCATTGGCACTACATGGTTATACATTCTTACATGTGTCCTAGTTCGTGGACGGTAGATGAATGCGATACTACTTCCTGTTTGTCAACAGCACATCGCCTATAGGGATTGCAAGTGCCGGACTGCCAGGCACCGCCCCCAGCTTGTGTTGGTCTGCGCCTGAAAGATTTTTAAGGAAAAAAGGCCTAAGTGAGATAACTCAATTATTGTAAGAGTAAAGCAGTTAATATTAAAACTAGTGTTGTCCAATCGGACGATTTTAGTAACCGGTTACTCGCTTACTTTTCCGATCGAGTAACCGGTTACTCGGATGTTTTCTTTAGACCTCTTAACGTCCTTGTTCGCGATGTGTAAACTCATTAGTAACTGCAATTTACGCTATATGTAACGTCATCATAATTATTTCAATTTCTATATTTATCTGTAAAATTTCATTTGTAAAAACAGAAATGCATTGCATGTGGATTTTATTTATAATTACAAACACACAAAATTTTCATAATAAATTTGTTCTCAAACACCCGTAATAGTTGGCTGTTTTGCGGGATGTCCTTTATATATCGCTGGTTTCAGAGTTAAATTTCAGTCTGCGGTGGGTTAGCATATTTGTTGTCCCACCTACATATGTCAATTCCATATTACATAAAGAACACCTTACGGATTCAAAATTAGCCATTTTTTAAAAAAAAAAAAAAATACATATTTCCATGCTTTTGATACATGTGGCGGTATCGTCTTTAATGTTATACTGCGAACTAGCTCACGCAGGTTTATTTGAGACAATTAAAATTAACTCAAGTCTTCAAAAACGTGTACATGTATACATCAAAGTAAACTGTGAAAAACTAATCAAAACAAATGGATCATATTGGTAAAACGCTATGTCTCAGTTTAAATAGATTTAACGGTAAAAAAAAAATGTGGGGCATTTATGAACAAAATTACGGTTTTTTTTTTTTTTTTTTTACTGATTTACTATATAAAATTTCCAATTATCCGTGTAGCAGTTCTGCTAACTCATACTCGCATCGTTGGATGATTAACCGGTTAACCGAGTACTCGTTGACAACACTAATTAAAACCTATAAAATTTAAAACAAATCGCCACGAAAAATCTATAGATACTCACCCACTATGAAGATATAGGATGTCGTATTTAATTGGATTGTCATAGACTCCTTCACAAAATGTATGCAGTGCAACGTGAACATAGAACGAGTTGTTGTAAGAAGGCTGTAAATATTTTAAGTATATAAATTACTTCCAAAATTAAATTTCATCAAAATTCATATAAATAATATACAAGTAACTGCGTCAGGACAGTTTACTCTTTTGAAAGTAAAAAGCCATTAAATTATACAATTCCAACTCAAATTACACATTCATTATAACTTGAGTAATAACTAGATTCATTCCTTGTAATTTAATATAAGATCATTAAGTAAAAAAGACAATATTCATTAGAAAATGATATTCAATTATAAAAGACTTTTTAACTGTGGTGTCAAGCGGATTGCTTGACACAGTCTTGAGGTAGGCAACCCGGGTTGTACGATATGAATTACTTTTTGCAACCAATCAAACAGGGCCTTTCCAGAATTAAATTATATCCAAAGTTCTAACCAATGAAAAAAAATTAAATGATTACCGGGTCTGTCTCCCAAAAACTCAGATATTTAATTTGTAGTTTTACGTTGTAACCGAGTTCAGGCCGAGAAAATTCAAACTGCACCTGAATTAAACAAAACACAGTAACAGCTTCATGTGTTTACAGAATGATGAAAAAGAAATGTTATATGTCTCATTTACTACAGCAATGATGCATTTATACCCCATTGTATTTCAAGATCATAAGTTCAATTCTCCTAGCGGTTTCTTTCTGGTGTAGTAGTTCCGTAAAGTCTTTGTCTGTGTACACAGCTAATTCAACAACTACATCCTTCGTGGCTGTTTGTCTTTTAGGTTTGTTCTTTAGCTTTATTATTTGGTCATCCAGTGCAGAAAGACTAAAGTCTATGAGAAAAATAGGTCATGAAAATTTTTGCAGATTTTTTTTTTTTTTTTTTTTTTTTTTTTTGCCTTTAAATGTTATTTAAAAATTAAAGTTGATGTTTGCAAATTGGCAATTGATGATCCGTTTATATAGATGCGTTATTATATAGACCAGTAAGAACTAGAAGACAAATCTCACCTTTATCCTTTAAACTTGCCTCGCCCGTTTTGTTCTGTGGTCTCATTTTACCAATCATAAGAACGGTATCTTCGTCTGAGAAATTGAGTCCTTTATTGTGAACTTTGGGTAGTTCTCTCAACTGGAAATCTCCAGATCGTGTGGTTAGTGATCCTTTCTAAATATCGAAAATGTTTTATAATTTTTTTTTACGTATAAAGTAAAATTGAATTCCTAATATTTGCATTAGTCCTTACATGTCGGCGTTGTAAATCACGTACAAAAGTATTTGCACCGATTATATTAAATGGTAGAACTTTTGTGGATAACAACAGGGGAAACTGAGAGATGGACAGAGAAGAATATGGCATAATATGAAAAAACATAATACTTATACACTATTGCATTTCAAAATTTCATAAAAATAATCAGTTGTACAGTCTTTAGGTAATTATAACTCTATATGAGTTCTATCTTAAATTTATTGTAGGGTCTTAAAACGTTGATTTAATGAAAACTAAATACTGATTTAAAAGTGTTTTTTTCTTTCAAAAAACGAATATTCTTTTTGTATTCTACTAATTACAAAGAGTATTTTTATTTTGTATAAATGGAAAATACGTAAACGAAAGATTAGGCTTTATTATCTTAAAGTGAAATGTGGAGATAACGAACAGTATTCAAGCTCTAAGTCCATTCAAACAATACAAATCGGGAGCAGAGCCAAAAAGGACCTCTAAAACATCAGAGGTGGGATCAGGTGCCATGGAGGAGTAAGCATGCCCTGTCGACCGGTCACACCCACCATGATCGGGCAAACGGAAATTCAGTGCGTAAATAACGGGTTTACAATTGGAAGGAAAAATATCAGTCAGTATTCGACTTATTGATAGATCGTATTTGCCTAGTCAAACAAAAGTCATTGTATCGACCATAGAGCTTGCAAAATGATGACCCTTAAAGCTCTTAAAGAAAAAAAAATTATGAGTAAATCTGTATCTTATAATTTACCAAGCCTTCACAATGTGACAAGGAAACGGTGCCGTTGTGTGAAGTCACATGACCGACCAAGAAGCAATCCGGAATAATTCCCTTCCACTCTTGGTCGCCGTCATCATTCCTGGTTACAATTCTAGCCTCCGGGTGCAACACGGATTCAGGTTTCGATACTTGTAACTGATAATCCTCCCCAAAAGCTGACAAGCTTAGTTCTGTTGGTGACAACCCTCTGGTACTCCTGACATTAGATCTATTAATCAATTAATATACAATTATTTCAAATTTCCTGCAGATCAAAGTGATTACTTTTCCATACAGAAAACGTCATAGAAACACAATCGTATATTGTGAAGTCATTTATTCCCTATCATTACAATATAGAATTCAAATGAATGTAGATTTAAACAAATCGATTTTGTGAAGTGGAGGAGCAACAGAAGTAGCTAATAAAAGTAAATACGGCTTATTCAGAAAATACGTCTACCTAGACTTTTGTAATGACTCTTATTATTTATCTCAGACTTTAAATTAGGTTGTTGAAATCCCTGTAACATCAACTTATTATTGAGAAGAATGTCTCGCTTTAAAATTGATCCTACTCAGAGCAAGCTCTTGTGTAGCGAATAAGTTAGGAGACATAAACACCATAAGCAGGTGATGGTGAAATATTACTACATAAGGAAAAGTTATTAATGAAAAAGCCAAGGTCATCTCGCTTGTCATGCAATTTAGCTGTAATAAATAGTGCTTCAACGAAATGAGATTTAAACGTTCAATGTATGTATTGTTATATAATATCAGATGCCAAATTGTAATGCAATACATTACTTTATTTAAAGGAAATCAATTTCAGAAGCCATTTAGTCCTTTTTGAAAAAAAAAGCAAAAGAAGATGACCTCGAAGGACGACTTAACGGAGCAACAAGTAGCAATTTAATTTTCGTTTTGCATATTGGAAACCTCTAAAACAAATTCATTCTGGAATTGCAGATGGAACCAGAATATACATGTTTACAAATATATATCAAAAGTTAGCTGTGTATTTGTATATAAATAACAAAGAAGTGTTTTAATTTACGAGGTAGAGACTTCGACTTAGACAATGGACGGTCTGCGCGGAAACAGATATTATATAGTAATAGTTCAAAAACTGGTCAAAAGAGTTAGTAAGGACAAAAGTGAAATGGGTTTCATAGGTATGGATCATGTGCAAGCACAGATACGCGGTAAAGAATTTGAAGAAAAAAAAACCTCTGACTTACTAACATGCTACAGGGGTCCAACGGCAACGTGTTGACTCAGGACCCTTGACGTTGTGAGGATGGTTACTCCTCGACTCAGTAATAAATAAATTTAATATATGTTTGCTAACCTTTTCTTGTCCTTGTTAACTTCCTTTAGACTTGAAATGTCAATGACTTCCATTCCCTCTAGAATGACCAATAACACGCAATCAGGCAGCAAGAAAGAATTAAGTAAAATAGATAAATTAATGCATGCGTGAAGCAGGTATCAGTTAATTCTGGCTGTAAACTTTAAGGACAGAATTGCGACCATGCTTACCAATGTCTCTTTCGAACACTGACTTTAGGGCTGATTCAGGTATCTCTTTATTTCCATATATCTGAAAATGTATCTTTCTATGTTGTATTTGTAAGCATATCATTTACGTTATCTTCCTAATCAAAGATAGGAAACACCTACTTCAGAAGGTTTTTATTGTACATTTTCTTTCAGGGGAAATTGATTAGTAAACTTTACAATAAGAGAAGAAGAAAAATAAAAAAGAAAGTGATTGCTATCTAAAGACTTAATATTCATTCAGTTTATTCGTAAGTCATATGTACTACAAAATTTAAAAATAATGCATGGAACGATATAATCATATATTTTTGGTTGTAAATGATGTATAAAATCTCTAAAATATTATTAAGTTACAGATTTTTATGTTCATATTTCTTCTCTTTGCCATCTAATTCTATATCATCTAAAATTACCTGAAATTTTTATTTTGACATTTATATATTTCATTTATTTTTCACTCGCACTTAGATGTCGGGTCACTCCCGATTTACTACGTAAATATTATTGGGTACAATGATAAAGAAATTGCTAATGGAAAGAAGTTTCGAAAATTTAATTCGTATATAAAAAAAGCCCCAAATCTGTTGTTATTTAAGTCATTCATTTTTTCAAGGAACTTTTCGTTTTCTTTTCTTCTTATTATTATGCCTTTAGTTCCTGTTTGTAATTTGTTTTAAAATTGATAAGATTTAGAGAGAGAGAGAGAGAGAGAGAGAGAGAGAGAGAGAGAGATTGAAGCCAGAAAGGCCTTACCTCAGCACCATAACAGTATGTTGCAAAGACGAGGATTGCGCATGCTCCCAAGGAAAATGGCATTTTTCTGTAGATGTAGCACTACCAACTTCCGTCGGATAGTACTAATGCTGCTTTATGCCAAACGATTGGCATATATATATTGTTCTATGCGCCTTCAACCCCTCCCAGTTATGAATATTTAAATTACACTTAATACAAATTTTTGCGTATGCTTAAGTCGATATTTCGGTCTATGGGCTAAATTGCTCTTGTGGCAATGTGAAAAAATATGTGATTGTAGGGTGATTTTGCTATATTTTTTTTTAAATATTTCTGCAAAATAATACAAAATAATGTTTTAAAATATTGGTTTCTTCGCAAAAACTTTTTTATACAGTATTCAAAGGCAAGGAATCGCTACTCCTAAAATAAAGCATACATATATCAAAAGTGGCAACATTTGAATATATGTCTTTGATTACTTATTTCTCTAAGTCAGTCTCATTGACATACTACTGTATCTTTATTCCGGAACATGTCACGGTTTTCTAGACTTAATGCATTATGAACATATCCTTTCTACAGATCATTTTTTTCTATCTTAGCTTATATGGTTGTAATTCCATTATATATACTTACTAGTATATCAAGTAAATCATTAAGGTTCTTAACACTGGAATTCTCTTTATTGGAAAATAACTTGTGTAATTTAAAACATTATAACAGTGTACTTCGGGTTATATTATAAATACAAATTTCTCTAATTTTTTTTAATAATTAGAGTTATGACTTTAGAATGTATCGAGTATAGTATGTTACAAGTAATTTTATAAATTACCAGGTTTAACTTTTTTCAATACAATGAAATGTGAAAATAACAAACAGTAATTATGCTAAAAAGTACAATAAAACTAAACAAATTGTGAGCAGAGCAAACACGGACCACTGAAAACATCAGAGCTGGGATCAAGTGCCATGGAGGAGTAAGCATTCCCAGTCGACTGGTCACACCCACTGTGTGCCCCTTGTCATATTGACAGAGAAATCCATAGAGAAAAGATTACATTTGCAAACATGATCATTGTATCGATCATAGAATTTCCAAAATGTTAACTTTAAACGAGATATCTTGTATCATCCGTGTATCATCAACTTGATTGTCAGTAGCCTTAGAAATTGTTCGTACGTAGAACATGCGCTTGAATATGATTCGCCTGGGAGACATAAACCCCATATGCAGATTATAATTGTATATTTCTACATATTAAGTAAGGGAAGTTCACGATCATAATTTGAAGTCATTACGTTTATTATAAAGTTTAATTGTGAGTTCGCCATCAGTATCTTTCTCTAGAAAAATATTCAAATATAAAACAGATAATATGTCAGACTCGAGTCCTGTTGTGTTTTTATTTTATTTCGAGTTCAATAGGACACTAGAACATGTATATTGAATCAACGTATGATTAATCATCAGTATAAAAATGATCTTGCGCGTTTTAAAAATAAGTCAACATTCTCAGCAAATTCTGTCGTCGACTACAGTTTATGTTGGGAATCTAGCTACATATACATGTACTTCAAGTCGACTGCCGAAAATCGGCATATATTGTAGTTTACAAAAATAAACTGCAAGCGTTGCGCATAGGGGAGGGTACTAGAGAATAGGTGTGACATCGTTTCGTTGCCGTTGCCGGTGATATGCAGGGCGACAATATACTATAAATCACTTTTTATTTGCTAGAACTTTATTTTAGCTTAATACTAGTAGCTAGTTTCTTTATCTTGTATATTTGTAATTAAGGATTGTCCAAACTATATCCAATTTGAAAATTAGCGATTTTTGTATCAAATAATTATTTCACAAACATAAGGCGTCGCAATGTTTTAGTGATCTATGTAGAGTATGATGTACCACTATCTACTTTAAATTGTCTTTCAGAAGATTGATACAGAGTAGAACAAGTCAACAATGGAGACTATGTTAAATTTCTATCACAATCAGTAGTTACCATTCATGGAAAAATGAGTGAATTCCTAAATCAAATGGGAGAGGACAGTTTTAAAACATCTAATTACTGCTTCTTCTATTGCTTCAAGAAATTTTAACACTGTTAATTATTTTCAAGAATCGGTATAGAAAGCAGATTCTGTCCACATGCAATGACACTTGCTTTTCAAAAGATCGATCGTGCTGTACGATTTTTCTTTTTTTTTTTTTCTTTTTTTTTTTTTTTTTGGTTTAAACCCTCCCTACCGAAATAGGAGTTTTTGTGTTTGTACAATTTTCCACTTTTTTTTTTTTTTTTTTTTTTTTTTTTTTTTTTTTTGCTTGTCGAAGTTTTTTTCAGCTAATTTGTCATTATTTTCACTCGTTACCTGTTTTCACAATTGTCAATAATTGTTCTAAATTTTGTATTTACTCCCATCCGGTTAATTCAAAATTAAGAACATGACAATACTACGTTCCTGCAAGTGATAATTCTCATTCTAACTCTGGTGTATTTTAGTTCTTCTCCCCTTTTTCTGTAAAATTCTTAATATTGAAAAAAATTATTCTGGAAAAGTATAAAATTGCCGTTAAGTATTTGAAAAGCATACAGGAAACAAGAATTTACGTGTAGTTCATCAAGTCAGGCACGTACATGTAGTGTCGGGGGGGGGGGGGGGTGGGGTCTGTCCCTCCCCCATTGGAACTTAACCCTCCCTCCCGAAATAGGAGTTTTTGTGTTTGTACAATTTTCCACTTTTTTTTTTTTTTTTTTTTTTTTTTTTTTTGCTTGTCGAAGTTTTTTTCAGCTAATTTGTCATTATTTTCACTCGTTACCTGTTTTCACAATTGTCAATAATTGTTCTAAATTTTGTATTTACTCCCATCCGGTTAATTCAAAATTAAGAACATGACAATACTACGTTCCTGCAAGTGATAATTCTCATTCTAACTCTGGTGTATTTTAGTTCTTCTCCCCTTTTTCTGTAAAATTCTTAATATTGAAAAAAATTATTCTGGAAAAGTATAAAATTGCCGTTAAGTATTTGAAAAGCATACAGGAAACAAGAATTTACGTGTAGTTCATCAAGTCAGGCACGTACATGTAGTGTCGGGGGGGGGTGGGGTCTGTCCCTCCCCCATTGGAACTTAACCCTCCCTCCCGAAATAGGAGTTTTTGTGTTTGTACAATTTTCCACTTTTTTTTTTTTTTTTTTTTTTTTGCTTGTCGAAGTTTTTTTCAGCTAATTTGTCATTATTTTCACTCGTTACCTGTTTTCACAATTGTCAATAATTGTTCTAAATTTTGTATTTACTCCCATCCGGTTAATTCAAAATTAAGAACATGACAATACTACGTTCCTGCAAGTGATAATTCTCATTCTAACTCTGGTGTATTTTATTGAATATAATTACACAAAGCGACCATAACTATAACTGTGTTTGTGGTTAGACTTCATATGTTTTCATTTGTCTTACAGACCGGGGCTCGCTTTAATCCGACTGACATACCGGGTAAAAAGATTTCATACCCCGGTATATTTCAGTTGGATACAAGGGATCTGAAAGTCTGTGATTTTGAATATAAGCATAATTTGCAATATATTTCCCCGTTAAGCAAAATCCACCGGCTGTGTCCATCCTCACGACGTCAGGGGTCACGTGTCCACTCAACGGCCACGAGTGGACTCAGAACCCCTGACGTGATCGAGGATGCAGCTGTGTCTAGAAGAAGATTGATTCAATTCCTATTCATATTAATCATTCAACTGTATATAAAGTAGATGATAAACATTATTTGAATTATAAAATAACGAACACTATATAAATTTCAATGATCGCTGTATAAATTATAAAGAAAATAACAAATCATGAGAAAAAATGTAAATACCAATGGAACACCTTGCACGGTCGGTAATTATAAATCAGATAGAAGTAATTTTCATAATAGATATATTTAATTAAATTTACTGATAATTATTTTTTTTTTTTAAAATCAGCTACGTAAGGGGTTCAAATGCCATTGTGCTAATATGCTGTATTTAAGAAATTAAAAACAAATATATATCAAAATTTTGTATTGTACCTTAATGTAATTATTTTCTAGATAATGATAACTAATTAGGACTATGTAGAAATAAAAAGTTTGTATTTATATAGAAAGAATATATTATTGCAAGTCTTGTTTCTTGTGAAATAGTATGGGATATTCATAATTTTTTCTTTACTTCAGTTTTAAATACATGTACAGAGAAGCCAGAAAAAACATTTTTATATGTATATATATATTTTTGTCAGATTTCGATAAATTGCACCGTTGAATCTCACTCTATATGCATTCTATTACTACAACAGAAAAAATATTTCTATTAATTTGGTGTATACAGTGTAGCTTCCTTAATCCGGACATCAATAATCCAGACGCTTCACCTTTCGGACGAAATTTGTGGGGAACAATTTTTATTAAATGTATCAAGTATGTTTCAGTAATTAGGGTACTTTAATAATCCGGATGAACGAGGCTCGACGGTAAACATAAGTAACGATTCTTATAAAATCTGTGCATTATAACTCATTAAAAATCCTTACAAAGATACATAAATATATATATATATTTCTTTAAATTCATTACAAATATTCTATTCTATATGTATAGGCCGAGTCCGTAATAGGCCGAGATCGAAATAGGCCGAGTAAGTTATAGTCCGACTCTGTTATAGTCCGACATCTCTAGTACCCCTTTTATACAACCATTCCACACGATAAATTAAAGTCCAGGCAGCCTGACATCATAGACAGCTGCTTTTTCAATAAAAATAGAAGTCGTAAATATACTTACCATTGGTCATTTGCAAAATTATTTTGTTAAAAAACATTCTGATTGTACACACAACTACTCTGAAGATGCCTGAGTTACTGATTGACAATATCTATGTAGTTTTTGGAGATCAGGTCTTCCATCAATACGTTGGAATTTCCGTGGGTACCGATTGCGACCCCTTATTAGCAGACCTATTTTTGGATTCATATAAAGCAGAATTTATTCAAAAACTTCTACATGAGAAGAAGAAAACACCTGCTGTGGCCTTCAACTAGAGATTTAGATATATCGACGACGTATTATCAATTAACAATTGTTACTTCCATTCATATGTCGACTCGATGTATCCCAGTGAGCTTGAAATAAAAGATACCAAAGAGTCTGACACATCTGTTTTATATTTGGATATTTTACTAGAAAAAGACTTTAATGGTAACCAAACAACAAAGCTTTATGATAAACGTGATGACTTCATTTTTTCAATTGTCAACTTCCCTTACTTATGCAGCAATACACCCTTATCACCTGCATATGGGGTTTATGCCTCTCAGTTGATTCGATACGGAAGAGCATGCTCTACGTATGAACAATTTTTTAAAACGAGGCAAGCTGTTGACAAACAAGTTGATGAAACAAGGATATCACAGTCTCTTCCTTAGCCATCATTTCGCAAGTTTTATGGTCGATACAATGACCTTGTCAGCAAATACAACCTATCATTGAGTCAAATGCTGACTGACGTTTTTCACATTAATTGTTAGGCCATTACTTACACACTGAATTGTGTACAGATTTTTTCCCGATCATGACAAGGAGCACACGGCGGATGTGATCGGTCGGCAGGGGATGCTCACTCCTCCATGGGACCTAATACCACCTCTGATGTTTTTGGAGGTCCGTATTTGCTCTGCTCCCGATTTGTATTGTTTAAATGGACTTTGGCCTTGAATAATGTTCGTTATCTCCATATTTCATTAAAATCATGGATCCTTGCAGACTGTTGTTAACCTTTACATTATTTCGTTACAACCGTGACCGATATACAAATGAAAAAGTGTGTCTATATTAGACCTTTATGGAAAGGTGAACATGCACACCTAAATCTTCCCATGTTTCTTTAAAATATAATGTATGTACATGTATTTGGAAAATATGTATACGGACACCGGCCGGACACCTTACCAGTGCATAAAGGCTTTTCTGGTCTTTGACCAGTAGAACTAAAAATTTAATCTTTTTTGGAATCCACAGTTTAAAGTAAGGATCCATTCTCGTGATTTCTACTACTCTGACTGTTGTTTATAGTAAAGTAATCATAAAAGTTCGCAACTGTTGCTTGCAGTTTTTAATATGTTGGTTAATACCAACAATAGTTTTAGAAATGACGAAATTGTGATTAAGCGTTAAATTATCATAATGTTAATAAATATTATAATAAAGTGTCAAATAATGTTTTTTTCGTAATTAATGCAAGTTTCCAAATCGAGATACATTATCCAAATTATATGGTACGTAAATGTAGAACAAAACGTTTGTTAAAAGATAAGCATTGCATATATCTGTGAGAGAGAGAGAGAGAGAGAGAGAGATCAGTATATATAATACACTGTATATAAAAAAAATTGTATGAAGCATTATTTATCCCAAAACGGAATTTTTCTCCAATCCATTAAGTCACAAAATTTTTAATGTGTCTTCATGCGGTTACCTTCAGAATCTATCTTTCTGTAGGCTCGATTTTAAACCATAAATAATTAAATGAAGTTGGCCTTGATCTTTGACATTAAAAAAATGTTAGAAGCATGCTTCTCCCTCTGTAGGATGATCTATCTTAAAGTTTATAATATCTCAACTTTTACACATACGTAAGGCATTAAGAGATGATCGAAGCGACAAAGTCTGTGTGGATGTACCATGAATGCTTCATAATTTGGACGTGACATTTACCTTCCCAGAGTATAAAGATGAGATGTTTTTAATACTGCCAACGAAGTTATTCATAGGCCCTAAGACATGAAATTTGGGAAATGATTGGCAGACCTATTCTTTCCGGAAGGCAAAAAATTTGTTAAATCATGAATACTGTGCAAAAGGGCTACATTCTTTAGCAATTGTAAACGTCCAAATGTGAATACGCTGATTGTGAACCAAGCTTCTGTGCCAAAGTGGACGGCGGAGAGGGAGGGCTTTCATTCATTGTTCTTTGCAAAATTCATGATCCATGGATCCAGGCTTCCCAGTAAGGTTTAGAAATATATACATGTATCTTTAACAGTTCTATCATACATACATTATTAAAAAAGAATTCTACGATATTCATATTTACTGGCAATAATAAATAATTTAATAAAAGCATCAAGTAGCAGTAAATAACATAAGAGTGGATATTTTTAAGTGACTTTGGAGTCGGAATCTGAGTCACTGTCTTGATAGCTGTTGACTAGATTAAGACCAGACATGTCGGCTGACGTTGATGGCATCTGTTTGTTGACACTATCCTTGGACTGTTCACACTCTAGATCTTGATTTTCCATAACACTATCACTACTGACTTCCTCTGAAATGGGGGCTAGTCTAATCTGTACGTCACTGTTACCTGCCTCCTCTGTCTCCTGCGATGATCGTGAATGCTCTCTTTTGGACTTGTTTAAGTTATTTTTCTTTCGAATTCCTAGCAATCTCTGACTCTCGGTCAAAGTTCTATAAGTCACAGCTTCACAACTATTAAAGCCTAGGTGTTTGTTGTTGTTGACTGTTGCCAGTTTATGTTTTATAGTTTCTTTTCCATCCTTTGGTTGGTTAGATTTTTGGAAAATTGTCTGTGACTCAATCTCCTTCCTCAACTGTTTCTGCTTCTCATCATAGGCTGAAAAGAGTCAATAATTTGTTTTACAGACAATTGGGAATATTTTGTGTATAATATAGAAAATTTCCCTGATGAGACATACTCTTCTCAAAAAATAAATTATGAAATTCACATCTGCTAAAAATGCAATTTACATTAGAATGCATAATTTTTTAAAAAATCTTTGAAACCATACAGTACTAATTAAAACCCCTTAATTTATTCCCTTTAAATTCACATGAATTTTAATTGTTCAATACAATGATTAATTTCTTATCTTAATTCAACTATGTGGATGTAAAACCTTCTTAAATTTAATTAATTTCACAGACAGACAAACTTATACACATTTAGTTGTTCAAATCACTGTGTATGGTGATAAACAAGCATACTTTCTGTGGATTTGTATTTAAGGAGGGAGGCAATCTTAACATCCTCCTTTGACTCCGGAAGAAGAGTGATATCTAATGAGGACCTCTCCAGCAAATCTTTGTCCTCCATTGCTGTTTTCTTCAGAGCTTTCTTTTCTTCCTGTAACAGTAGTGAAGCAATGTGACTCAAAGTATGCCATGATAAAATTTGTACAAGGTACCAGTGTGTAAGTTAACATCTGAAACTGTATACAGCACATCACAATCACTGCAGTTTCAATTTTTGCAATTTTCAATGCAAAATTAAACTGGGAATTGGATATCAATTCTTAATACTTTAAAACATACAATTTTTTTTTCAATTAATAGAATGAAGGCTGCAAATTTAAAATGGAGCAAATATATGTATGGTATTTAATTTCAGAAACACAAAGCTAATTAATGATAGAATTTAAATCTCTGTACAGTACACAGAAATTTGAAAATTAATACATGTATATCATGAATTACAACATACCCGGAACTGACTTCTGGCCATCTTGTTTAGAATGTAATCATCTCGATATTCACTTCTCCTGTCCTCTAACTGACCGACGGTCATCTGAACATTGGCTGCTTTCTTCACGTCATCACTTGTGTGCTCCAGCTTAAACATGGGATCATTGGCCATCTTCTTTATAATAGCTTTATCTAAAACAATATCTCTAAATCCTTATATATACCACCCAAGTACTTCTGTACATGTTATCATTTTTATTACATGTACCATATTTTTTTCCTCTGTTCCCTTCTCAACCATTAATATCTTATGTACTTTCTTTGCATACATACATGAGTCTCGATCTTGAGAGAGAGAGAGAGAGAGAGAGAGAGAGAGAGCTCAAGTACAGATAAGCTTAGACAACTTCCAGTTCCATATAGTAAATACACATGTATATCATTTACTGTATACTGAATATGGTTATTTTTTTCTTTTTTATAAACTATAAACCAATAACATTTACATGTATCAAGAGGTTTTGCTTATAGGGAAAATATTGTTTTTAAAATTCTTTGAATACAAGATACAAGATACAAGATTTATTAGTCCAATTTGGGCCCCCGGAGGAGCAAAAAAGATTTACAAACATGAAACAAAGAAGGAGGAAGATCCAAATGATAGAACAAACATGATCTTAAATACATGAATATAAAATGATCATAGTGAGCATAATTCCTTGACATATATTACCTGTAAGAAATTTTTGTTAAGGAAAAGAAACCTATCATGTTCATGCAGTCCCACATATTTGTCCAATAATTTTTTTTATTATTTAGAAGTTTGAAAAAAGTTCAAAAGTATCTAACTGATAAAAAAAAAAAACAGATGACAGACAAACTTTGATTGGGAAAGCTATGCCAGGAAAATACTAAATTTGACCACCAACATTCATCAGACCTCAGCCTTATACCTTCTGTAGCAATCTGTTCGTTATCCTTGGGGTCCCATCTCTGTTCTTTCCTCCTGGCCCCACTCACAATCACATAGTCATGGTGCTGAAACAAAAGCACTGCTGCTGTACAAAAATAGGAAAGGGGGAGGGGTTCTAAAGAAGATCAATTAAAGGTTGAAAGTTATCTTGTTCCCATCAATATTTACAAGCACAAAACTGTATGTTTTATAAAAAGTATTAAAAGTCTATGAATGTTTATATGTTTATAAATATCATGTAAGAGAATACTTGCTTGAATTTATTCTATTCATTTATTTTTAACTCAAATTTCTATCTAAGAATGTCAACAACAAAACGACAATAATCAAAACATCCGAATATCTAACAGATAAAAATTCGAAGGACACATTAAAAATAAACCAGTCAAACATACCTGGGGATCTGTTTGGATTTCAAAATAATTATCACACAAATGACACTTCATTCTGAACTGCCATATTGGTGTGGAGTAATAGTTTCCCACTTTCTTCTTCTCTGCATTGTATCGGACTCCCATTCCAATATGACTGTTGCAGCCTCCACACCAGATATTGTAAGGCATTTCAAACCTATATCCAGAGAGAAAAAAATCTAATACTGCATGGCATTTCAAACCTATCCAGAGAGAAAAAAAATCTAATATTGTATGGCATTTCAAACCTATCCAAAGAGAAAAAAATCTAATATTGTATGGCATTTCAAACCTATCCAGAGAGGAAAAAAATCTAATACTGTACGGCATTTCAAATCTATGGTCCATAATTTAGCATATTTTTTTTTACTATAAGCAGATAAGCATGTGACAGAAGTTAAACTCACGTATGTTGATAAGTACATCTAAGATATCATGCACTATAAGAGCATGTAGATAAACAAAAATTTCATAAACATTTAACATTAAAAGACCTTCAATGACTGTCACAAGAACAAACAAGTGAAACCTGCTATCATGACCACTTGGCATTAAAGGCTGTTTAAAATTCTATTCATTACAAATTTGTTTCTGTAAATCATTTTTAGCCCATGCACAGGTAAAGTATTTGTCCTTGTTTGTAATGAGGTTACCAAATTGCATTTTGATTCACCATGTTCACTTTATTTCCACTATTCTCATAAAATCTGATGATTTTTGATTTTGTAAATTTTAACAAATTTGCAATTACTTTATTGGCTGAGAAGAAGTTATATACATGTATGTCTGTATGTCAAGTTTTTATTTTATTTTTTTTTTTATATATCTCTCTCAACGCACAGTTAAAACCATATCACTTAATAATATGCCCCCACTGTTTTGTCACTGCCATAGTATAGCAAGAAATCAAGATATGTCAAATAAAAATACTTGAATTATTACATGTTAGTAGTCATGAAGGAGACTGCAATTACAAATCAACACATCAAACCCTCATTTAACTTCACATTGAATCTACATTTTTTTTTTTCATTTGTGGTATAAAACAATAATTTTATGCAGCATAACAATTTCCCGGATGATCAAACTGTACCCACCTAATAACCAGTATGCCCTGTGCAATCTTCTTGGCTCGGTCTCGTAGTGGGTGCTGGCCGACATACTTGTTGACGGAGCCTTTACTTGGGTCCCAGTCTGGGGGATAATATTTGTTCTGTGACTTTCTCTCAGCCTGTGATAAAATGGCATGAATACTTCTGAATATCAATCTCAACATGCTCAAAAGCCAAGGATGAGCTGAGGTAAATTTGATGGCTTTAATATTTGTATGTTTAAAGAAGCCCCAGTTACATATTTCACCCATCTTTTCATGCCCAAACTCATATTTAAGTCATTATATATCAAGAAATGACGATTAGATCTGTAATGGTTTAATGGACTGTGGATATCGGCCTCGGTTAGCTCAGTTGGTAGAGCACCTGACTAGTGATGCAGGGATCCTGGGTTTGATTCCTGGTCCAGCCATACATCTTATGCTTTCCTGTTACAGATTTGGTGCCGTGACCAGGATTCAAAGTGAAACCTGGGTTGTTGTGGCCACAACGTGAAGTACTAACCTGTTAGGCCAGAGTTTTTTTATTTTCTGTTTAACAGGAATTTTTAAGAAAAAGTCGGGTCGAAGGGGCAAAATAAAATAAAAATAAAAAGTTCAAAATTTGTCGAGTCGAGATCATAAAAAAAAATAAAACCCAAAAATAGTATGAATTTTTTTTTAATATAAAATGTTGAAAAATGAAAGAAAACACCATAAAATTTTGTTTATCATTTATTTGGATTTCAAATATGGAAAAATAGATACAACTAACTATATGCATGTCATTGTGTCATCCTACTGTGGTTAATTACACTTGTAAATTCTAGTATGAAAGCAAAACAATAAAATCTTATAGTTTGAATTATTATACAGCAAAGTAATATTGGATACATGGATAACAGAAAAATCCACACTGCTTAAAAATTTATAGATGTATTCTGGTGGTCATCTCCTACTGTATAACATTTATAAAAGTAATAATAAGAAATTTTTAAACTACATATATTATGATTAAACAAAAGTCTTGAGAAAGAGATGGGGTTGATAGCTAACTTGACAATGTGTTCCTAATATAGGGCTAACACATTCTTGAGGTTCGGAATGGAATTTGTCAGCAGAAATTATTTGATGAACAACAGCAAAGTCATCTTGGAAGTCTCCTGAACTCTTCACAAATGGTTGGGTCTCCACCAAGAAATCAAACTGCACAAAAATTGCATTGTTCCTTTAAGATACTTTATTAATAAAATCAAATACAAGTAGTAAATCTTAGAAAGTAGAAGATAAAAAACAGTATTTACATGAGATTCTTTTCTAAATGAAGATACAGAACATTTTTAAGAGAGTTTTAGATAATAACACATTTCTTATATAATAAATATAATAATTTTGTTCTTTGTTCAATTTGCATTTAAAATATTCAATTGGACAATTTGTCGACTTAATTCGTTCTATCTCTACCTTTCCACAGGATAATGTGTGCAACTCCAATTAGCTGTCACTTGTCAGTGTTAGTTATATTCTTTTCCAACTCTCGTAATTTTGTTGGAATCCTGGTCTCATTTAATTCAACCAAGCAGACATGGACTTATATCTAAAATATTTTAATCGTCATTTTAAGTCCCTGATATAGTTAAACACCATTCATCGTAAAATTATACTTTACCGCGAATTTTACCTCAATTTGTTATGTGATCGAATTACATATACAATATAAACATCTTTATAAGAAGAAAGAAAACATATTAAAAAATGTTAACCATCAAACATAATCGAACAACTGTAACAGAAAATTTATTAAGACGTCTCAAAACTTACCCCAAATTCTTTGGACACAAGTTCCACAGTTCAGTGTGCATCTGGTGTTTTTAGGTTGTTGTTGCCTTCACTCCGATTTCAGGATCTTTTTTGTCTTAATCATCAATGGATTTAATATTACTATCCCGTCATTTTTATCTATAAATGTCTCGAAATGACATATGTTTGTTGATAGAACCCGTGAAATTGCGATGAACTAGTTCTTTAAACTGGTTACGATATCGTAATCAGCAAGACGCTCGTAATAGAGTTTGATTAACACAAGCTATGTCAAACGTTTACATGATTTATTAAAAATATGGTGTACAACAAACCCGATTTTATTTCAAACCATTAAAAAATGACACAGTCGGCGGGCATTTTAAAAATAAAAGTGAGATTGACCTCTTTTATTTTTTTTCCGTATTTTGAAAAAATTGGGTCGGCGCTTCCCGTTAAACAGAAAATAAAAAAACTCTGGCCTTACAGATCTATATCAACTTGTAGTTTTGAAGTGTATCTGTAACATTATTTAAAGAGTGTTTCCTCCTTCTAAAACTACACTTAACTGTTCACTTGAGTCCATGCTCAATTGATGATCAGACATTTTTAACAGCTCATTTAACATTTACAGCCAGGCAGCTGTAAACAGGTCTGGCACAATCTCTTGATTTAGCTATATAGCTTGATTTAGCTATATAGCTTTATTAAGCTATTCAGAATAGCTTGATTTAGCTATTTTATCACACTTTTTTTCTTAAATGTGTTATTTTCTCAGCCTGCACAAAAAGTCGCACCTTGGTGCAGTGATAATATTCAACCTTCAAGTTGGACTCTTGCGAAAATAATGCATGTAAAAATCACTCATCAAATTGTATCTCCTTAAGAGACTTTGTAATCAAAATTTTAAAAGTTTTGGGGCTATATGAAGCAATTGATACAGTTACTTCTTCAATGAAATTATATTAAAAGGAGGCCAATTATAGTTTACACGATAATTGATTGGTAATAATTCAGTACAATGAGAAGCAATCATACTTATCCATGCCTCAATGCACACAAGGTAGTGTACGGTTACTCAACCAATGGAAATTCATCTTTTGCTTAAAAGTATTCAAATGCTGCAATGTTACCAGTCAGGGGTGAGACTGAAATCCGTCATTTTTGAAAAATGATGGATAATCGTCATATTTACTAAGTACGTATTTTCGTCATTTTTGTCAATATGACTTACTATCGTCATATTTTCTTTTTCAACTTAATTCTTCTATCCTGGTTACATAAAAGCGAAATTTGAATTCACCGCTGAAAGAAGAGTGTTTACGCAAGTTTCATTTCATCCAGGTCACTAATTACTGCCGACCACGTGCGTTAGAACATCAACATGGAAGGTGAAAGTTATTATTTAGCGGTAAAATGTCGAATTTTGGTAGAACTAATTTGCCATTTTTACATGGCTTTTAGCTCTATAAAAACATATAGTACACCGTCTGGAAGAATACGTACTTGTAGAGAAAAGTCTCGACAAAAAGTTAAAGCCATAAAAAAGTAGTGCGCCCCGTAAAACAAGCGAGATATTTCAGTGCGCCCAGACCCTCCATTTTGAAAAAAGACGGAACATCGTCATTTTCGTCTTCTTTCCTATTTAATGCAAATAAATTGACAAATAACTCTTCCACTCTTATTTTTGCTTGGGAAATTTATACTGTCAACATAACCAGTATTGTAGTCAACTGTATTAGAGAAATGAAGTTCATTTACGATGTTTTTTGTCCCTTTTTCGGTTGGTGGATCTAACATTTTTCAAAGAGAGGTAACTCGGTATTCTAGAAACACTCTAAATTTTTATGACTGTTTTTCGTCATTTCCTTAAAAATGACGAGTTTAAGTCATAATAAAAATTTTATTTTATGGCTTAAAATCGTCATTTTAAAAATGACGGATTTCAGTCTCACCCCTGACTGGTTACTGTTAGAACTATCCTTGATTTCAGTTGTTGTTTTGATAACCCATAGCACATAATTATATGAATAGTCAAATAGTTATACTTGCGACTTTTTGTCTATCTCTTACAAAAAACATTTTCCCGGAAAACTGCACATAAATAGCTTTATCAAGGTATTTTGAATAGCTTAATAAAGCTATATAGCTACTTCGAGCTATATAGCTAAATCAAGAGATTGTGCTGGACCTGGTAAATGTGATTGAGAGCTAAAAGTAGTCTAAAAATGATGTATTTGTGACTTTCAAACAAGAATTATGCGAATCTTCTATATCAGTGACATAGAGGAAAAAAAACCAAACAACTGTCACATTACCACATACCATATCATGTGCTTCAGCTCTCAGAGTATGTCAACTCTGTGGATTCTGCCAGTCGATGTGCCAGTCCTTCTTAATGATCGGTGTAAAAATAGTCTTATATTGACATAAGCTACGAATTCAAATATTTTACTCAACCCAGAATGATGAAAAATACAATTAACTTGCACTTAAGTTATAGCTCAAAATTTATGTATTTCAATAAAATTTTACAGAGTTTTAAAGAAAACGTTTTTTTTTTTTTACGGCACACAGAAGGTTAAGCGTTTTATTGATCGAGACTTCAGTGTAGATGGGATCGGGTTTTACCCATACCATTTACACCTGAGAAAATGGCGGCGTTGCAAAACGCTAAGGTTTTGTTGTTGTTATTTTTACCTGTGATAGGTAATTACATTCAGATTTATATTTATGTTGTGTTTTAGACTAAATCAAAAATATTTAATTATTTATGCGTTTTAAAAAGTGTCAATTTACCACTGTTCGTTTAATTCTTGAAATGCGTAACATCAGAGTGAGTCACCCGGAAATGAATTTTCGAAAAGGTGTTATTTTTTCAAAATTATCTTTAAGTAGATAAGTTTTTAAGGATGGCTTTTCTTTAACTTAAATTTGCAGATTTCGATCTGTTTGGTAATAAAGTAAGCTACATACATACATCAAAACATGAATTTCTAATCAATTAGCTAAGCTAGGTGATGTATATATCTGTAGAACAGGTTGGGACCAATTGCTCAAATAGGTTACAAAATCCTGTTTATGATAGCATTTACAGTGCAATAAATGTCAGAAGAACATTTTGGTTAGCTTTATATAATATGTTTTACGGTGTGACCTTTTGGGGTGAGGGGAGCTGTATACTATCAAAAACCTTTACATTGCTTACACTTTTAACTCTGTTCCGCCTCTTCAAACCTCAAATGAACAAGACAATCTAGACTCACTGTGACATCATATGACATCAAAGAAGTTTTGAATCCTGTCAGGCTGCATGCATGTGTGGAATATTAAAATGTTCTTAATTAATATTAGGGATACAGAAAGTTTGTTAAGAAAATTCTCTTGGTTTTTAGTATGTATTTTCATGCAGATTTACAATTCTGAAAGCTAACTAATTTTCAATAAAGTTCTTGCTTTTTAATTTTTTTCATGCAGATTTATAAAACTCAACGTTAAGGAATTTTCTTCAATTTTTGCAGGGTACATATAAGTCCATTTTGGATATGGTAATGCCAAGAAGGCTATGTCCCATTTTGGCAATTGGTATTAACCTGTAGGAAATAAATTATCTCTCATGTAGCAAATAATGATAATTTGAAAAGGAATTTATTTCTTAACACAGTTTGGGGAAGATGCAACATTCCAGACTACTTTCATGGAGACTGGTACAGTAGAGAATCTGGAACAGACATTAGAACATTAGTTAATGCTGACAAATGGGACAGTAATCAGGATGATACAGAGCTGAATTGTGAGGATATGTTCATCCACCCTAATCCAGGCCTTCAGCAGGATGGCAACAATGTTACAATGTTAATGGTCAAAAGGTAAATCCAGGGACGGAAATTATTTGGACTGCATTACCAGGGCAAAATTAAAGTGTTGAAATAATTTATTTTTGCACACTATGTTTAATACGTACTTAACATTGAAATTATTTATTTTTACACACTATGTTACATACTTAACATTGAAACGATTTATTTTTGCACTGTGTTAAATAATTCAGATGTCATGGTAATTCAATTTAGCCAGTTTAGGTTTATTTTTCTCCTAAAAGCTTCAGACCTATTATTTATTGCAGTATTTATTTTGTCTCAGTAATCTGGTAAATATAAGTGAATATGACCACTGGTGCTAGGAGCACACAGTATTTATATAGTCAGCCAAGGGTATGTGTGTAGGAAATGAAAAAAATGGAACTAGTGTATTGCCTTATGTAACCAGATAGGTCAATAGAAAAAGTGTCTGTTTTTAAAATCATGAAAATGTGTCATCAGACCATAACTATTTCAAACACATCTAAAATTCTTCATATATATTTATAACATGTAGATGAATAAACATGCAAAAAAAAAAAAATAATAAACCCACCACCTTATTATTAAGACATATATGTTTAAATATCTGCAGAAAAGACCTGACTGAAGTGAAAAGCATTACTTAACCCATGTTAAATGAGACTTCATTTCTTCAAAGATTTCTTTGTGACAGTTTCTGAACTTTTGTAACAGAGGTTTTCAGATTGATGAGGCAAAGTGTGTGTTTTTCTGTGATGAATGAATATGAATTCCTTGTCCTGTCATTTATTTCTACAGTCATAAATTGAAACATGAGATTTAACCTTGCTCAGAATGTATATAGAAAAAAATGTAAAATTGTGCATGAACCACAAATTACTATTTTTTTTCTTTCCTGTAGTGGTGGAAGTCTCACAAACAAATGTTACATGTGTGTAGACGTTTTATGGAGAACAATCAACATTCTACAATATAGGCAAGGTAAATGGACCAAAGTACTAATATTCATTTTGAAAGTGTAATATAAACATGGTAGTGAAAGATAACATGACTAGTATTAAAATTCAAATGACTTATGAAAGAATCATATGGGGGAAAAATGAAATCAACCTGTATCATCCAAATATAAAAATCCCATAAATTTAAATCACTGATTCATTATTAAAATTTATGGTATTTCTTGTAAAGAGTTGAAGACCATGGTATACGACCCCCTTTTTTTACTGCATTTTTAACTTTTTTTCAAAGAAAGGAAACTAAGAACATAACGTTTTAATGAAAAAGAGATGAACATATTATAGAATGGATGAATAATAAATACATGAAGCCTAAAGGGACAGAAAATGATGAATTCAGAATGGATAACTTATTGTCTTGAAATTGTGAGTGAAATCAAAGCCATCTATATATTACCTGTAATTGACTTGTTAGATATAATAAGCTCACTTTTTTTGTTCTGTTTTCCAGAGGACTGTATAACAACCCAGTCAGGAAGTCAGATTTCCCTCAATGCCTCCTGTAAATCTATGAATCCTTGGTATGGTCTCCCCAGCACTGATGTTACCTTCACTATGTTCAGTAAGTCAAATAACATTACTTTATAAGGTTCATCAAATGAATCATATAAAATTTTGCTTTTAATTAATGCTAATGAGTTTTCAAAGAAATCTGTTTTATAAGTTAAGGTGCACAAATTTCAGCATACCTTGAGTTGAGGGGGCAAAATTTGAGAAAATGGCCTTTTAGCTTGTGATTGATAATTTTATAAAGAAATAAAGTTATTTTGATCAGAAAAGTTAATTTTATCATATTATGAGTCAGTCAAATATTTATCCATGAATTCTTTCAGGACAAGCTCCTCAGAAGATAAACTGTGTGACAACGTTTGAGGGCGTGTACCAGTTCTCTTACGAGGTGGATCAGGGAGGTGGAGGTATCTGTAACCATCCAGACAGTCAAATCAAAGCTTGTCAAGAACCCGGATCTCAATACGTAGACAATGAGGTCTTCCTTATGACCTATCGCAAATGTCATGATGTATCAACATCAAAAAACGAACGTAAGTAATGTTTGATCTTTTGGATTTCACCTCTTAGTGTAGAGCAGTTGGATCAAGGGACATAATTCTTTTGAATTCATATTGTGCATTTTAGTAAAATTAAGCATAACTGGATGTTCTTACAGTAGAATAAGTTTTGAATGACTTGGTATTGATGTCATGTTGTAGAGGTGAGGTACCAGTGTATGGGTTCGTGGTTCGCTGTGCGTAGTGGAATCGGCTACACATTCGCTGCCATTGCTGACACTGTAGAGCAGGATACCAGAGAAAAATTCAAGTGCTTGGTAAAATTTTTTTTATTTCTGGACAGAATAAAAATAAATTTTTCATTTTTAAGATTTATTGCATGCATGGACTTGCTATGTTCATTTTACAGTAGATGGAAATACTTTTGAGATTTATTTAATCAATGGAAATTTTGTTCATAGATGACCTTGAAAAACCAGAAGGATGCCAAAAATCAGATTCGATGGGTGATGTCTCGTTTTCCTGACTGCACAAGCTTGAGTGGGATTTACAAAGGACCACTTAAATTAGTTTTAACAAGAAGTGAGTAAATTTAATAAACTGAAATCACTTACCTGCAAGTTTACAAATAAGAGAATTAGATCTTTTCTTTAATGTCCAATTTTTTTTCCCCCAACATCCCAGGGATAGACATTAACTTTCAAATTCACTTGCCCTTCGGGCAAGTGATCTCAAACTTTGACTTATCCAAATGCAAAACTTGGTTGCCCAAAATTAGGAATTTTAAAGAAGAAAATTATTTATTACTGTAAATGTTATGATGAGAAAATTTGTAAACAAATGCAATACTGTCAATTTGACAATTTAAGTTACCTGAAATAAAATTGATGCTGCGTTTGTACTTGAATTAATACAAATTCAGTGTATTTACCTGAAAGAAAACAGGATAACGAACCCGATTTTTAAATGAGACGTATATGTCACTGATATAATCGAGAAAGGCTTCCAAGGAATTCTGAATGCAAAAACAATGTCAGTCGGGTACCTGGTGGAAATCAAGTGTTCAATTTATTGTTTTATTTATAATTAATGTAAACTAAATAAAATATATATTTCTTTGAAGAAAAATTCACTTGCCGGATCAGACACACAAGTTGACAATTTCACTTGCTCCAACTTAGAATTTACTTGTCCCGGGCAATCAGACAACCATTAATGTCGATCCCTGCATCCTTTTCAGTATTCTAGTATAAAATTGTGATCACCCTTGACTAATTTAAAATAAAAACTTGAATTTTAATGCATATACATGCATGAAAAGTTCTATATTAGAAATTTTTTTTTGACAGTTGCTCCACCCACCCAGTACATGATCCCTCGCTGTAACTTGCCGAGAGACATTGCTGGAACCTGGTTCACACAGGGACCTGAATTCAAATCTGACGTAAATGTCAACGAAACTCACATCCATTTCCACACTGGACTAAACGAGTTTGAGTTTCAGGATGCCTTCTATTCATGCCAGCAAACCTTAGGAACACGATATTTGATGACCAAGGTGTTGGTGGGGAAATGGTGAGTTTGAGACAAAATTCACTCTCTGGTGTTAAATAACTTATCAATGCATTGGTGCAATTCATAAAGAATATCTGTTAGATTTGGGATTTATTTATGCTTGACATTAACCAATCCTACAGAGTCATTATAAAACATTGTTTGAATTTTCTACACACAAATCTTTAAAATATTTAAACATCTTCACCTTTAAAATGAACAAAAACAGAGATCTTTATTAATTTTAGAGTTTTCCATGCTCTCATTTGTAGCATTGTAATGAAAGCTTTTTTGTCATTTTTCAGTGAAGTAGATTTTGTGTGTATGGACATTGTACCCCGACATCACAGCATCGTCAGATACAGAATAGGTAAGCTTGACTTTTGTTGGAGAATTTTTTTTTTTCAAAGTTCCAAAGCTAATTAATAATAATAATTTTAATTTTGAAAAACTTTTGTCAAGTTTGTGGTCACTCATAATTTGAAGAAGAAAAGAATAGAGTATCCAAATATATTAAAATGAAATTATTTGAGACAGTATAAAGAATATCAGTAAGGCTTCAGGGGTGGGGGAAATCTCACTGAATGTACAAATATGTGCCAAGTCTTTCAAATTGCTCTCTGAGATTGTATCAGAATTACTGATGATAATTATTTTCTGAATGTTAGGGAAGCCTGCACGACGTTTGTCCGAGACTGAACTGCAGGACTCTAACTATCTGGAGATGGTGTTCAGGGATGCCTGCAGCTGGATGTCCTTCACTTTCAATCGTGAAATCATAGACTGGAAATATGAAGTGCTTATTCGTAAGTTTATGAAATTAATTTGCATGATTGACAAATTGAAAAATGTTAAGGTCAGAATAAGCATAGTTCTTCACAGTGAGAGATCAGAAGAGTAGTGCTTTTGGAAATCTAGGGTTAAGCTGATTCTAATGTAACTAAAGTTTTAGATATCCTTTTCATTGAAAAAAAACACCCTAAAACCATAATTCTATGCTCTAAAGTCATATGTAATTTTTGCCACTAATAATTTAATAATATAAAGAAATGTACAGAGTGAATAGGATCTCCATATGGAATATTAAGATACAAAAGAATGAACTCTGAATGAAATTCTCCAATACTTTACAGAGAACCCTCCCACTCCTTACCCCTGCCCTGTCGGAGGTCGCTACAATTTTATCCAGAATGCCGACAAAGAGAATGAAAAATACCAGACAAGGATTCGTGGAGTTACGCAGAAACCTCGTGTACAGGTGGACTGCCGTATTGTTGTGTCAGAGATAAAGTCCTGCAGTAACGACTTGACCAAAATTTTTGTTGATGCTGAATACTGCGAGACAGTGGACTACAGAGGACGGCCTATTGGAGAGTATGGTGAGTGGTTGGGTTAATTAAGACTAAAATTAGTGCACTTTGTAAATTGGAAAATGCACTAATGTGAATATATGTTGGAATTTGAAAACAGGGATATTTTCAGTATGGATAGGAATTGTTCAGCAGATGGTATACAGTACAAAAATTAGTAACCTAATAAAATTTTAATAATAAATGAACTTAATGGCATACATGTATATCACTCCTGAAAAGTTTGAAAGGAAATCCAAAAAATATTCATTTAAAAAATCAACAAGAGGAGAATAAAGAATCTATAAGAGCACACTCTTCCACTAATGTCATTATCTAAATACCCCTTTCCCCCCCAAAAATTAGTCAATGCTACAAAATCTAGTCCATATTTTTGGCCTAAATTTAGTGGAATTGATGTACGATCTTCATTATGACAAACGAACTAGTGATATTAACACATAATCTTTATGCATCTCATGGGAACTGGAAATATTATTTCAAATTGAAAACACAGCAATGATATACATAATGTGTTCCTGTATTCTATGTAGATGTGTCGGATCACGAGTTGACCTGTGTAGGATTCTGGATGGAGGATTACAAGTCATACTTGGTCACGTGGGATGAAGAAGACGCCATTTCTAACTTCAGATGCTGGGTAAATCGCACACTTTATCATTTACAGTATTTTACAGTCTGAAACTTTCTATCCAGGTTATTTAATTTTTTAAGTGACTTACTCTCAGTATTTATTCGCTTTGTTTACTTCTTAATTACAGGTGTATGAGCGTGCCAGCTGGACCACACTTCACATGTCACGAGCTCAGAATGCCCGATGTAATAAGAAGCAAGAAGCCACTGACTATCAGATGGCCGGTACAGGATTAATGCTGGAAATGATCGAAAATGAAAGACTCTGTAAGTTACAACTTATTTGAGTTCTCACTTTTATTTTCATATTATTGTGAATATGTGAACATTCTCATTCATTTAAGGGGGCTGACTGGGGTTTTCATTGCGCAATACTTCGCGCAGCATAGTAAAATAAAGCATATTTACTCTTTTAAAGCAACTATTTTTACTTAATTTATAAAAATTAATAAATTTAGTCAATCTAAGGTTAAAAAATCTAATTACGTTTTTAAATAACTGATTTTTTAAACGATTTTTCAAATGATGGGTAGATAGACATCGTAATAGCGTGTTTTTGACGCTATGAATAACCGAAGTTCTATAAGTGGGGTCATTAATTATATCATAAAATAAAAAGTATAAAATAGATGCTCTTGAAATTTTAAACATAGGAAATTGAGAATCTCGCAATCATTTTTATTATTTCTTACGTAAATCTGTGGTATCTATCATGTTTTGTTGTACTCCATAAAAACAGGAAAATATCATTATTTTTGACATTTTGAGATGCCCCCTCTGGAAACCAGACGGTAGAATTTTGTGTTTCTTGCATAAAATGTACAGTATAGTATTCCCCATCAAATAGTTTAATTTGAGCAAAAAGTCTATAGTAGCATTTGTATAATTTGCTCCGAAGTGCGAAAAATGGTATTTTCCTATATAATCCTTTAGTAAATGTACCTGTATTTTGAGATGGTCCCTAAAAAATAACCAGACGGTAGATGTTCACTAAACTTGGCATATATACTGAAGTAAGTGTAAGGTACATATGGTATGAAATTAAAGAGTTTCTCTATAGTAGTTTTCACACAGTAAAACCCCAGTCGGCTCCCTTAATGAGTGAAAAAAAGAAAATATTACAATATTAAGAAATTGGTATTTTTTAAAAAATTTTCGTTTCAATTAAGAGTTTAAATTTTCTATCCTTCTTTATGTTTGTATTTCAATTCCCCACCAATAAAAAGCATCAAATTTATCAAGGCATCAGATGCAAATTGAATGGGGAAAAAAATTTTACTTTGAGGACACATGTATGTATATATCACTTAGGGCAGTTATGTTAGTTTAAAATGTGCTTAATAAATAAAATTAATTCATTATAATGCATATCGGTAACGATCCTCTAATAAAACTAATGTTCAAATAACTGTATCTTACTTCCATTCTCAATGACCGTGTAGTGTAGGACAGTGCCGTAAGAATTCCATCGGCATCGAAAACAAGTTTTTTGACTTGCCTAGATGGCCGAGTGGTCTAGCACGCTGTTCCTGTACTGCTAGGAGACAGATTCTGTAGGTCAAGAGTTCAACCCCAGGTTGGGGCGGAAGCGGGTATCCATGTAAAAGTGAATTTCTTTGTGCTTTATATATATATATATATATATATATATATATATATATATATATATATATATATTTGGGAATATTGTAAGAATACAAAGAAACCATATATCCTCTTTAGTTGAATTACAGTATTTTAAAACATTGATGATTGATTCTTCTTTTTATTTTTCAGTTGATAATTGTCCTCAACGTTTTGACTCAGGTGTAAATCCATACAAATTACCAAACACCATCTGGGTACTGAACTCAGCCACCAGTGTGAAACCACTCCCCTGGATCCTCTCCTTTACTCTCTCATTGATTTGTGTACTGCTATCTAGATAGTACTCTTTGATATTGTGTACTTTGCATGACTGTGTGTGATTTCTGAACTTCTATGATGTTTTAATCAAGTGTATGTATGATATATTGTGTATATGAATGAATGAGTGGTTAAGAATGGTTACAAGAAGTGAATTTAATGTGTATATTCTAGCAATTTATGCATAACGTTATATTGGTACATTTATGTCATATACCCATATGTTTATACAACATTTTATGTATTTTTTGTCATACAACTTAGAAAGCATTTTCGATTTTGAGCAGACTCTTTATACAAATTTCAAACAGTGCATTGCATTCCAGTGTCATATCAGTCTCTTTTTGATTTCTGAGAGAATAGAGTCATTAAACTGCTGTAGTATTATAATCCATGAGTAAAATTTTATGAAAATAAGGAAACACCATTATCATTCATTGTTCAACTGGACTTTGGCTAAATTTTGTTAATACCACTTTATTGCACACAATTTATCATGTTTATGTTTATTATGGATTTTCACAATAATTTTTAAAGCAGACATTCCAATATATCAATTGATATACTTGTGCTACACTTTTTTTTTTTAAAATTGTATTTCTACAAATCTAGATCATCATGAATACATTGAAACATCAGTTATTTACATGTCATTATCAGAATATTTTACATGTTTGTGAACATATTTGTGTAACTGTAGTGATAATTATTAACATATCATTAATTAAAGCACTGTATTTTATGTGCCATTCCATGATGGGGTTGTGTTTCATTGTACTATATTTAGCATAGTGATATCTTTTATATTTTATTCTGTATATATGTAAATAATTTCTATTGGAACATCTGTATACTTCATGCATTCCAGACTAAATTTACTTTGTTATCAAAGAATCAGATGGCAAGATATTTTATACAATTTACAAATAAAAAAAATAAATGGTTTAATTGTTTTCTTTATGGATCAGTTTTAAATAGATATATGAGGGCTGTCCATGAAGTTCGTGGTCAATGACGTTTTTGTCAGACTGAATGGTCCTAGATATACTTATTGTCTACCAAAATATTTGTTATGAAAATCTAAGAATAATTTGGTTTTGGTAATTTGAACGTAATATTTTTGTAAAAATCGCAGTCTTTAAAGGTTGCAGGAAGTGCCCAGTGTGGAAATGTCATAAAATTTGAAATAAATGTTTTTGATTGAAATAATTATTTTCTTCATAAAACAAGTCAACTTAATAAAAATTAAATGGTCTTAAATAAAGCGGTTGTCGTCATTTTCTTTTTCTAATAACTTTTAGTATAATCGTTTATTGCATTGGACAGAGAAAATATAAAGAAAGAAAAGCGACTTCGGCCATCCTAACGCAACAGCATCCAATCGTAATATGGTTGAAATGACGACAGAGACAAAGTGATTATTCAAACAACTGGAAATTATTGGAATATATGTAGTTCATTGATTCAAAATTGATAAACGAGTTTTGAACGGTAAGTACTGTTTGAGAGACGCTACAAGAAGTGGAAAACTACTGATATTTGATGAAAATAGGCTGTTGGACGTTGTCCAAGCCTGAAAATCCTTTTTTTGTTGGGGGGGGGGGGGGGGGTAGGAGACTACACTTAAGTCAATTTTCTTCGGAAAGACACGAGGAGTTGATTCAAGTAATTCCAAAACTGCTTTAAAATCGCTGATGATCAATCGAATGGATCAACAAAATTTTACATACTCTTATCTATTTTGACTTATGCCTTAAATTTCTTTCAGTAATATATATTAGTACTTTTTGAATATTAAGACAAACACGAAGTTATGATTTGTGTTACCGACGTCGTTATATGACATTTCTTTTCAGCACTCATTTTCTTTTTATGAATTGCAATATCTGAAATTTTTTCTCTCTATCGTTCCCATGTATCTGATTGGCTCAAACTAGATCACATGATCAAGTATATTAAACATCTTGTAAACGGGATGTTTCAATTTTAAGCGTCTAAAAAAAGCTTATAAACCCGGTGTTTCTACTTCTGTGAAGTGATAATGTTACAAAAGTTCTTATAAACTGGATGTTTCTAAAAACGGATAATTCAGCTGCTATATATTTGTAATTGTGACGTCATAATACGTATGGCATGACAATGCCTTATAATTATGAGAAACTACATCCATGACATCGTCGGATTCCCACGGGTGATCTCGTCTTTTACTCATTGCTGAGTAAAAGACGAGATCACTCATGGGTATCCGACGATGGAGAAACTACATACATGTATGTATTGAGTATTAGAAACATGTGACCCGTTTTACAAAAGAACTAACGACTAAGACCAAACACTTAGGTTGATTGCAAAATCTTGCAAAATTAATAATTCTGTTAAAAATTTGCTTGCATAAAATATTTTTTAACATTTCTTTTTCAAAAGATTAAAACCATTTTCAAATTAATGTAAAAAAGAAAGTTATTTGTAGAATTACATTTTGTTTTCCTAGTATGTTCTTTTGTAAAATAGGCCCATGGATTTTTAATTATCTCATCAAAAGCTAGGCTATATTTGTGTATTATTTTCCGTCTTTGTTTTCAGTGTTGTCCTTTACCCACTGGCACTTGTCTCTGCAATATTTTTTTAACCAATAGTATAATTATACTATCGGTTAAAAAATTATTACAGAAACAAGACAATAAAGTGCCTGTGCCTCAGCCGTATATAAAAGTACACATTTTATAAATACAGAATAACAAAGAGGTCTTTCGAATTTTCTGTTTCCGAGAGCTACAGTACTAGTTCTAAAGGCAAGCTATAAAATATTCTAGAGCATTATAAAATTAGAAAACCTGCACCGATGTTCGGTGGAGAGGACCCTGCAATTCTTTATGAAAATTCTCTGGAAGATTATTGAAGCTATATATGGCGTATTCATAATTTTCACCGATTTTGAACTTGAATAACCTCGTGTTTCCATAGTTAAATTGATTTTAAACTGTGTTATTTAAATGCGGAGTCGGTAAATTAACTGATTAATCGGTTATTGTTTTAAATTCCTAATATCTTTGAAACGTGAATGATTTAAATTGTGTAATTTACAGGAAAGTCCTATCTTTATATAAAGTAATAAAATAAATAGAAAGATCTTTTTAATTTTAGTTAGTCTGAACTTTTAAAAAATACGCCATATATATGACTTTAATGTCATTTAACATTGTTCTATAGCCTAGAAATAAATAAACCCTTTGTTAATAGTATAAGTTATTTAAATTTGCATGTTTAGTGTATTTTGCATGTTTGTATTCCTGCAAGTATTTGGAAATACTGCATTGCTCTCTCTCTCTCTCTCTCTCTCTCCTTGTATCCGGAAAATGATTGACTTGTAGTTTATTCATGTTATTGATTATCTATGTATGGTCCCCGTCCTTTGAACGCTTTTGGTAATGATAATCGTCAATGGATAAATCAGGTAGTCTGCATGACATCGCCCATGAATTCCGATAAACACTACTTCTTGGGCGTGGACAGGTGAAAAATCAAAATGTATATTCTTCGCTGATTTCTGACGGGTGTTTACTTGGATAATTTAAAAGAAATGGCGCTCGAAGAGCGTCAGAAACTGTTCGTCATAATAACACTGATTCTGACAGTAGTGGGTCTTGGATTAATGGTGGGGTCTTTTGCCACAGACAACTGGATCAAAGCCACGGGAAATAAAAACACTACATCAAACTACAACGCTTCCAATGTGCCGAGTATGAGTGGTACTTTTGGTCTATTTCGTGGTAGTCGAACTATTAACTATGGAAATGGACCGAGGAAACATAACATAACGGGTATCTCATTCTGATTTACTTTATTTTATTTGTTCTTTTAAAATATTGATTTTTAAGAAGATGTAAACAGGAGCCGGGGAAGGGGGGGGGGTATTTAAACTGTCAGTTGATCATTTATTATGCCCCCGCTATTGAAGATTCGAGGGTATGTAGTTTTTGCCATGTCCGTCCGTCTGTCTGTTTGTCTGCAAAAACTTTAACTTTGACCATAACTTTTGATTGGTTGGCGCTCTGACTTTCATATTTCATTTGTGTATTCAAGATCTTTCTTTTGGTACCAACATATTTTACGTATTGACCTTGACCTTCGAGTTTGATCCCTTTTGCAAAAATTTACAAAACTTGAACTTTTAATTGGACTTGCCTGAGTTTTAGCAGAGACTATTATGAGAATCTGATTTGCATGTGTGTGTTTGGGGGGGGGGGGGGGGGGTTGAGGGCTTGCACTGTTTGAATATTAAATTATGGAAATCTTTTGAGGAGAAAGGATAGGGTTTTTAGTTTTACTTTAAATTCAAGGTCATTCAGGTTTCCAAACAGGGCCAGGGAGGTGTACCACCTCCCCTAATTATTTATAAATGGATACCATATTGCAGGGTTTTGGTGCATCCTAAAAGTCTTTTTTTTTCAAATATTCAGTCAAGAAAATCTAGTAGTATTACTTGAAACAGATGTAAGAGTTTGTTTTGTTTAAAAAATTATATTTTTAAAAAAGGAGGAGGGGGTGATAGCACTTAAGACACATCCCTTTCTAATAAATATGTCCTTTTGAGTGGTGTCTAGACATTCTATAGTAAGCTTACAAAGAGTTTAATATAATACATTTCCTCAGATGAACATGTAAGACATTTTTAATGAATACAATCTACATATACTATACATGGTAATTTAATATCCTGTAAGCTGGTAAGTTGTGAATGGCATACAGGACTAATGTCTCATCGACAGTTTTTTGTGAGAACAACCCGAAATGTAGGGCAGTATTTGGTATGTCTGTTGAAAGAGTATTCTAGTACATGTATACAATTGTCCATCAGTATAAAATATGTATTGCATTATATGGAATTTGTCTTTTTAAACCCACAAGCACTCAGCAGTTAAGTATTTACTACAATTTGATGCATAACCATTGGAAACTTTTACAAGTGTAGAAATGATGAAGAAAGCATAATGGTTTAAGTGCTGGCTGGTACACATTGTATCAGTACCACCCTTGTACGGATATGAGGAAGTAATTCAAACCCCACTAATACAGGATTATAACTTTGTATAGGGCTTTGAATCATTTAATCGTGGTGTTTGTTTCTTATCGTTGAAGTTTACAATGACCGGAGTAATGGACATTCCTGCGACTCCAGGAACAGGAAGTGTGCGCACCTGTCAAGACTTGTTTTATCATTTAATCACCTGTAGTGACTACATGCAGTACTATATATACCAGATTAAACCATGTACCCATATCACCTGGTCTACTTTCTGCAATGTTATATTTTATGTTCTGTTCAAACAAGATTTCAAAGATTATACTGATTTACTTGTGTGACGGATGTTTCATTAAATCAAAGATTTGAATACTTTCAGTGTTACACAATATATTTTCCATGAATTATGTGGACAATTTTCTAAAAAATTAATAGCCTTTGAAATTTTAAATTCAAAGACTCATGCATACAGGTCATTTGAAAGTTTGTTCAATTTTTTCATAATAAAGTTTTATGGTACAATATATAGTTTTATGGTCCACTTCTGGGACTTCTGACATGTGCAGTAAATTAAAAGTCAAGTTTTCTACTTAAATATGTTAAATTACTGTAGGTTGTCCAGTCATGAGATAGGTCCTCTTTACCTACATGTATAGCTTAATCATATCAATTAAGGTCCATAAGGCAATGAAAAAAATCCTTATCACTGAAAGTATTAGTTTTTTTTATTGTAAATGATCTTGTATATAGACACAAAATAATTTCTGAGAGACAGATTTGAATAGTAACTAATACTTTCTTTTCATTTTGTCTGGCCTGGTCACCATAAATAAGTATATGTAAGTACATGTATTAATATTTCTAATCACTGAAAAAAAAAAAACTTTAAGTGTCTCTGTCTCATAAGAATATTGGTGCTGTACAG